ATACACTCACTACTGCTACTACGACTACTAACACAGTTCGCTTACTCATTTGTTTTGCCTCTCTGCTGTGTGGTCCGAACTATCTGCTAATAAACTGTAGTACCTGCTTCTTTTTACCTTCTGATTTCAAACACCGTTAAAGATTATATGGTAACGGTACGAGGGTGATTAGTTATCGAAGCACAGCCACTACAGACTCTGGGTCTGTTGTCCAATCTTCTGACGATGCTGAGTACATGATATCTGGTATTCTTGCTTTCCAGACGTTAGGTCTGGATTGGGTTGACGCGTGCTGGTGATTGACAGTTATATGTAAGTCAAAAGTTAAATGTGCGCTATCACCTTTACCTATGGGTGGCATTTAATGAAGGTTCGCGACGTCATCCTTATAGTGAGTCAATATAAGATCTAGTAAGGATAATTCCGTGTCCGCGTCGTACCTAGTCGCTTATTTTACTTGTTGCACTAGGGCACATGTGATAACCGCATCAACTAGTTCCTGCTCGAAGGAATTTTCTGACGGTTCAGTTCGCAGATTTTCCCAGTCTACCATAGGTGCATTGAAGTCCTCTAGGATTAGACATCGACCACTTTGTGACCAAGTATTGAGACTGCTTAGCAGGACCTCATTTACCTTACAGCTTGGACTGCGATAGACCAAACCAATCAGCAGCTCTTGTCCCTTGAATTTCAAGAGGCAACTAACCAATTCACACGTCCCACTCTCATCGGATACACTGTTGATAATGACAAATGGGATAGCATTCCTAACGAATAGAGCTACTCCCCCTCCTTTACGCTTTTGTATTCTGTCGGTCCTTACTAACGTAAAACCCTCGAAATCATGTTCCATACTGTCTATAGACTGTGTCAGCCAGGTTTCTGTGGCTGCGATTATGTCTGGCTTCGTAGAGTCAATCTGTACACCTAGTTCCGATCGCTTATTGAGTCAGCTTCGGGCATTAGTGTAACAGATCCGAAGCCTATTTAAGTGGCTTCATGGTTCACCCAGAGTGGCTTCGGCATCATTCTCTGTCGAAGTCTTACAACCCGAAAATTTACAATTTTTATGTCTTTTTCGCCAGCGTCTAACCTAATTTGTAGTTCTTTTTCGGCTTTCCGTCTTTTTACGCGGTCTGCCAACGACAAGTCCTTACGGATAAAAACTCCCGAACCCTTTAGTTTATGTTCTTTCTGCAAAGTTGAGTCGCGTTCATTCGAAGATTTGAATACTACTTTAAGCAGTCTGGATTGATTTGGCTTCAAGTTCGCTTGAATATCTAGTCTGTACACCTTAAGCAAGGTGACTCCGGGGACATTTTCAGGCATAAGTTGGTTAACTAGCTGTTTTATCAGCACAATGTCATGTTCAAAACGAGTTTCTGGTTCAGAGCTCTCACTCTCCTTGATTCTGTGAAAAATAACTGATCTCTCACTGTGATCATCCTTCGATTTTTCGACTACTTTTATGGGGGCAGGATTCCCTTTTATATCGCTATGTTGTTTCTTCCTTACATCATGTATCCATTCGCCAACGTTGGTAGGAGAAGCAACCACAGTTGCGTAAAACCTACTGTGGGATTCCTGAGGGTTGTCGACGATTTGGGAGGTCAGGTTATGTTTCCCGCTAGAAACCGATCGGCCCCCAAGTACCGTGGTATGGCCGAGAGTGGGGTGGGACGCCCCCCTCTCGAAATGCTCTAACACGGCCATGCGTATACAGGCTCTGCCAGGGAAGTCTACTTACTGCCGTCTCGTGGCGAGGGTGTTGTTTACGAAAATGAGAGGACGAAAAGCGAATGTCCGGCGCTTCAACCGGATCCCAAACCAATGGTGCACATGGGCTCCATTATCCTTTTGGAACAAATGGCGTATGAACCAATCGTTGGTCACCGTCTACCATGGGACTGTATCTCCTTACGTTGCTCCACTGTCTTATGGATTAGACTTTATTCTCGCTTCGGTTTACAGTCAAACAATTCACGTTATTATTATTATTTACCATGTCGTTTATTCACTCTCTTTTATTCCCATTTTATGTATCCTTACTTTTCCACTTATACAGGAGCTCGCCTATGGTGGAAACTCGGTTCTATCTAAACGTTCTCGAGTCACTGCCTGGTTGAAAATTTTATGCTACCACCAAATACGAATACTAAAGCAGTTTTTCTGAAACCACGTGCACCATTCAAACTGGCTGTCTTCAACGTTCGCACACTTATGCAGGTCGGACAACAGACAGGGCTGGCTATGTCTTTAGAAAGTCTTAATATCGACGTTTGTTGTCTATCCGAGAAAGATTGACTCGCGAGGAGCAGACTTGCTTTCGTTCTAGTCGAGGATCATATCTTCACCCTCCCTCAAATGTTAGAACACCGTCATATGTATCAAAGGCCAACAATCGTAGTGTTTTTTGGTGTTAGGGCTGCCTTCGATTCGTCGGACAAGACTGTTCTCTGGGATTGTCTATTGAAGAAGGGTGTGCCTGAGAAGTTTATTAACACCCTAAAAGCCCTATATAAAAACACCTCAGGCAGAGTGAGAGCATACAACCACCTCTCTCCACTGTTCCATTCGAGCAGTGGGGTTAGACAGGGCTGCCCAATCTCACCATTCCTCTTCAATTTTGGTACCAATGACGTTCTGACAACAGCTCTGTAAGCAATGGTGGTGAGGATCTTTCATCTGGAGAAAGACCTCTTGATTTTAAGTATGCAGGTGATATTGTCCTACTGTGCGACGATACCCAAGCCATGCAATCTACACTTGACCAGGTAGCAATTAGTGCCCGTGAGTATGGTATGTGCTTTTCACCTTCGAAGTGCAAAGTACTTCTACAAGACTGGCAGAATTCTAATCCTGTACTCATCCTGGATGGTGAGCAGATAGAAGTAGTCGAGAAGTTCGTGTATCTGGGTAGCTGCATAAGTGCTGGTGGGGGTGTGAGTGATGAGATCAATGCACGTATAGTGAAAGCCAGAGCAGCTTATGCCAATCTGGGCCATCTTTGGCGCCTTCGTGATGTTAGTCTGGCTGTAAAAGGTCAGATCTACAACGCATCGGTGAGAGCAGTTCTACTCTATGCTTGTGAAACCTGGCCTCTCCGAGTTGAGGATGTTAGACGACTCTGTGTTTGATCATTGTTGTCTCCGAAGGATTGCTGACATCCAGTGGCAACACCATTTTGAAACACCGACTTCGGTGGCTCGGAAATATTCTACGAATGTCGTCCCAGAGAATTCCACGTCGTGCATTATTTGCCGACGCTGGGACAGGTTAGAAAATAGCGGAGAGGTGGTCAGTGTATGACATGGTGTCGTGGTATGAAAAAAAGCTGCAAAGGGCTGGCCTGTGTTGGTCCTTCACGGCTCCCTGTTTGGGATCCTAGAGATGGTGCAACACAGTTGCTAGAGGCGTTATCAGACATGGCTCAGAATAGAAGCCAATGGAGATCCTGTTGTAACCTTCTTTTACTTTCTTCATTAAAAAAGTGGTTGTTTCTTCCTTAACTGAAAGGTTTCTGATTGTACCTTTCCTTTTGTCCCATTATTATTATTATTATTATTATTATTATTATTATTATTATTATTATTATTATTATTGTCATTATTATTATTACACTAATCTGTTCGTTATTGTTTTTTCCTTCGAATTCTCATTGTTTTATGTGGCGCACATATAGTTGGTGCCTTCTTGTACCAATATTTATGTGTTCAAATAAATAATAATAAATAAATAGAAACCGATCGAGCCTTGCGAATGCGGCTTCTAGGCGTTTCTTGCTGGATACCATTTAGAAGACGGGGGACAGAAGAAACTTCTTTTCTTGAATTTTTGGTTAAAACAGACGTCTTTGAAGATTGTTTTTCCTCCTTTGGTTGGTGTGAGTCACCTGTTTTCGAACTCACCTGAGCTTGCCTCACACCAATTGGCGTGTCAGCAGAGCGAGTACTGTACGATGTGTCCCGACCACGCTTGCCAAAACACTTTTGCAGCATTTACCAATGAAATGGCCTTCGTTAGCAAGCTGTTTGCATCCGAACAGCACTGTTGGCAAAGCCATACGCAACCGTTTTTAATGAACCGTTTGAAAGCCGCAGGCGTTAAATTCGTGCAAACTTCGTGGTACCAGCCTTTGCACTCATCGCGCTGCCTGCCGCTTTTAACGTGATAACGACAGCCCGAACGTTGGCATTTGCTTTTCATTGCACTGTCCAGTCATTAAACAGGGGTTTTTTTTAAAGAAAAAAAGAACTAGATGCAATAATACTCAGACAAAAATGATCTATGACCAAAAAAAGTGGAAAACTGTGGACTGTTAAAACCAAAAGTACTAACAGATAAAACAGAAAACAAAGTACTCAAAAGTACCGGCGACAAACTAATTTAGAAACAGAAACGATACTCTAATCGAATACTTTAACTGAAATAAACTCAATTAAAGTGAAAACAGTAGTCTTCATACGTAATAAACGATCAAAACAATAGAATTTACTCAGCAAGGAAAAATACCACTGTCCTTTTAATTAGCGCGCGCGGAATTTTAGGTATATTTCTTAAAATTACGACTTAAATGTATATTCAACAGTAATCTATTAAATTATATTATTGGTTTTATGAATTTGTTGCTTTAACGAAATTTTTGATATCGGATCAGGCAGTTATTGTTGTTATTTCTATTCCTACACTTTATATCAATGTAGCAAGTCGAAGTTAACATAATGTAAAACAAAAATGTCTGTATAGTAATATCAATCGGAACATCTCTCTTTATGTATATGTTATTTGTGCAGTTTTGAAAATGAATTCGTTGAAAAGGATTTCTTTGCCAAATTAAATGGCTTATGACAAAGGAATGAAAAACACTGGAACTAAAGTCCAAATAATAACAGTGTAGTGAGAAAATCCAAAGTTATTTAGTTTGAAATCTTGATATTCAGTAAGTAACTGAGTGCCATCAATTTTCTATGTACGTTATTTTTTTATTTTTTTTCTCCTAGGTTTGTATTATGCTTTCATTATGTAAAGAGTTTATGAAATTTTCACGTTCGATGATATGTACAAAAGTGAGTACAGGTTTGTCATATTTCTTCGCCATCAAGCTATCCTTAGTTTTGATGGGATTTATTTTTTTAATGAAAATGAAATTGTGGTTAGACTTGTCTGTCTTAGTGAGATTATGCTGGATTTTTTGGTCAGAACTCACGTAATAGTTTGAAAGTTGGTTTATCAGGAAATGTGATATCAGTTATGACTTCTGATCTCTAGAGTCAACCATGTCGGAATGAAACAATCAACACCGATTTTATAGGTTTGTGATTGCTACGCATCATTTAATGGCTGAACTCAAAAATATGGAGCGTTTAGATTCTGAGTGTCATTCTTACTGTAAAATCTTCAAGTCATAAGTTCGATTTCATAACGTTCACAAATACCCGCAATCGAGCATTCTTAAACTAAGACGGAGCAGATACCCAGTGCTCTCAAGTTTTCAATAGATTTCTAGATTATATCTGTCTTTGATGAACACAGTCTTTAAATTGGACAGGTTTACAGACTGCCTGTTTGCATAACTTTTCCTATGCTGAAATTGATGAGTAATAGTACTATTCAAAGAACGATAAATAAGAAACTTTGTTGGAGATGTTAATTCCCCAAATACAACTTATGAGACAGAAAATTAATATCAATTTAAGGGTAATGTAAGGTCAACTTTCAGCACATTTTCGTCACATTACTTTATAAAATTCTAATGCATTTTACCATGATTTGTGTCTAGTGACACTCAGTTAGTTGATAAATTCCGATCACTGTAACTGATATATAACCAACTAACTTAAACGTGTTTTTAATTCTACCGGAGCTATTACCGACTAATTTTCAATTGCGAAACTTAGCGAGGCAGAGGATAGAAACCATCTTGTTCACTGTATTGAAGTTGGATTTTCAAAATATTAGCATAGCGCACGAACACTGTTTACACGTATACTGTTTATCAATTATTTTATATAGCCATATACAGTTGAAATGCAGGCGCCATCGAATGAAGTTTGCAATATGTGCCTTGAATCTTATACTCATGTTGGCATTTTGTCTTGTAATGTAAGTCAATTTTTACAGCGTTAAATAATTGGGAAAGTTATGAAAAAGTATTATTTATTGTTTACATATGATTTTAATAAATTAATCAATTGGACATTTTTGGTAAGGAGAACTTCTATTGAAAACCAATTTTCTAAGATGTATTTAATTTACATACTTTGTGGCACAGTTGGACACCAAAAAAGGTTTGCACCACATAAATAAAGAGATAATATTGAGAAAAAGTAAAGTAAGGAATAGAAATATAATCCAAAAATGTAACTGGGCAAGAATATTGTGTGTTAGGGGATATAGTTTAGTTAAATGTACAACCAAGGAAGATTTCTTTCACCTAAGGAAGTTCCTCCCAATTTACAAAGAATATGAAAGAAAACTACAACAAGATTGCCTTTTTTAATCTAAATAGTTTCACTTATTTTTCAATCATGATAAATACTCATTTATTCACATATTTTTTTAAAATAAATCTTCCCATTTGCATGTATGTGTATAGCATAAATTTTGTGCTAAATGCACAACACGTTGGTTTAATACATTTACTAATTGCCCGTCATGTAATCCAGAATGTGGTGAAAATTCAAGATGGCGGAGTGGATCGATGGATTTATTTATTCAATTTTATTAAAACTCAGTGGTATCCTTCTTTTGTGTATTAGTTTACTAATTTTCCTTGTCAGCTATTCTTGTTAAATGATTAAGAATAATGTTCCAAAGACCTGTTTGTATTTTTCTTCCTGTGTACTTATTTATTTGGAGTAGAAGAATAATTAATTGTAATTGGCTGTGAAAAAGGTTGTATGTGTCTTGTCTATTTTATAAAATTGTTGTAGATGATAACCTGTAAATTAACTTTTATTTTTTGGAAGAAAAAATGAACCGAACATTTTTTTGTGTCCTGTTTGTCTAATAATTGTTGACAGTATTATCAATTATTTCTCGATGTTTGTTTACAAATTCCCTTTTAAAGTTGTTTTATAACTTTTTTATCAATAAATAATTAGACCTTAGTTTTATGGTGGTTTTGACAAACTAATGGTGGTTTAGGAATCTTTATGAAATAGATTATTTTAGTATGGATGTTTATGTTGTAAAGCCACGGGCAGAGATGAATAATGTGGAGAAATGCTTAGTAACTTATGCTAACAATGATACATTCATATGATTACAGAATCAAATCATGTACCTAATTGGGGCACAATACACCCGCAAAGAATATGATACTTATAATCTGCATACGAATCGAACAAATTAGTTTATACCTATTTCTTTTGCATGGTCGCTATGTTCCCGTTCATAATGTAAAGAATTACTCTGTCAATAGTCAGCAAGTTCCTGACTCTAACTCTAATAATGTTTGTAGGTCGTAAGGTAAAACTAATTATTCTTTAATGCAGTTACAGATAAACTAAATCTTTGTCGCGTTATCAATGGGTCACTGGGAGTACCCTCCTCTCCAAACTACTAATGTAATACCGTAAAATTTGGATTTGGTTAATGTACTTTTCTTTCAGATATTTATATCTATCAAGAACAGCTGGTGGAAATGTGCTACTACGCATCACGTTACTTGATGCATGTTCGTTTATGTCACTATAAATATGATACATGTTCAGTGCGTTTTACAGTTTGATAAGACATGTATATTTATTTTCTTATGACTGCTCACTAATGAATTTCAGGTTGGATGATGAAATTATATGGTTTTTTACTCAGATTGAAACATTATTATGATCTTGGATACGTCATAAGCTGTAAATTCACTGGCTTCATTATTGTATTCTTGACGTAATCGATAGACCACACAAATTCCTGTCCTAAGCATCCAATAAAAACAAGGGGAAGCCAGATGGATGATAACAAGTACCTCATTTATATTCATAAATCATATGATTACGTAGGTAAACTGCAAGTCCGCAGATCAACTCAATTAGTAGATCCCATTAGGTACATAACCTGGATATTGGAAATACAAGACTGAGTAAAAGTTTAGGATTGGTCGACCGATTACAAGTTGGCAACGATTAATGAGTCGGAAGACAATTTCCAATTAAGATAATACGAAAATGCTATAAAGGGCTGTTTAATAGATACTCATTAAAAATATACAAGTTAGTTTGTAATGGCTTGTCTTCGAGGTAATTCCTTAGGCTTCGTTTATCAATCACCATGATAACCGTTGTTAATTAAATCCCAACGGTGTATAAATCCAGAAAGCGACACGAAACGCCGACTGCAGTTTATTATTGGACAGCGCAAATAACAAACACACCAAGAGAATTTGAACAGGCAATCTGTTACGCTCGAGCAAGCGGATTCATAGTCAAAGGGAATCGAATCAATTAATAAGATTGAAGTATATATATTATGATGGAAAACTCTGCCTGTAGTTAAAAGTAGGGTCAGCGTCCCCATTCCGTAGAAAACAACCTTGCTAAAAAGACGCCAACCCGAACAAACAAATCAAACCATTCGAACAATGTCCCGGGTGTTGAGTGATCTTTCAGAAGATATATGACGCTTCATGGTGAAAGCCGATATTCTTCCGAAGTCACGAGGCTGATACCAATTCAACAACCAGTGCAACAATTAATATAGGCACACGGAATGTCCGGAGAGACTAGGAAGACCAATCAAATAGCTATGGAAATGAGGAGGTACAACCTGGCGGCCCTCGGAATCAGTGAAACCCATTAGATCCAAGTTGAACAGAAAAGGATAGATTCGAGAGAGATGCTGCTGCACTCTGGTTACGAAGAAGAAAATGCTCCACACACTCATCGAGTTGCTCTGATGCAGTCCAAGGATGCATATAAACCATTTATATGGTGGGAATCTCATGGATCCAGAATCATCAAAGCATCCTTCAAAACAGAGGAGGGAGTCACAATGAATTTTACCCAATGTCATGCACTCACCAATGGTAGCAACGACAATAAACATTAGTTTTACGAGAGGCTGCAATCAATCATAGAGAAGTGCTCAGGAAACCATATGACCGTCCTGATGGGAGATCTAAACTCAAAAGTCTGAATGGACAAAACCGGCTATGAAGATATCATGGAACGACACGGACTGACTGGAAGAAATGAACGAGAATGGTGAGATCTGTGAATTTATGTGCATTCAACAAAATGGTTATAGGTGGCACAATATTCCCACACAAACACATACACAAAGCTACATGGGTCTCACCGGATCAGACCACAGAGAACCAGACCAATCATATCTATATCACCAGAATATCCAAAAGGTCGCTGGAAGATGCGAGCAGGAAAGGAGCTGAGATAGCATACACGATGTCACATGTGTCCCACCGAACCACACGATGGAGAACCAGACAGATCACATACTTGTAGATATCACTCCGCCAGCGATAGAGGAATTCAGGATGACCATCAAACAAATCAGGATTGAGAAAGCAGTAGGACCTGACAACATACCAACTGAAGCAGTGAGGTCACATATAGAAGCAACGGCAAACATGCTCCACATTCTATTCAGGAAGATTCGTGAGGAGGAGAAAGTGCCGATGGACTGGAAAGGACATCCCATCAAGAAAAGAAAGGGGATCTCGACAAATGTGAGGACTACAGAGGCATCACACTACTGTCAGTACCCTAAAAGGTTTTCAACAGTGTTGCTGGACTGGATGAAAGACTCAGTAGCCGTCCAATTTCGAGATTCTGTAAGAATCGGTCGTGCACAAAACAAATCGCGACACTAAGGATCAGTGTTGAGCAGTCACTTGAATTGAATTCGTCACTATGTATCAACTTCCTTGATTATGAGGAAGCGTTTGTCAGTGTGAATAGGTCAGTCAGCTACAACATAGAGCCAGGCACTTATATGCATCGGTCCAAGTTACCACACCTCATTAACACGACAGGATGAACACCGGATTCATAGTAGTTAATTCAGTGGTAGGAATATATAAAAGAAAGATTGCATATAAGGACATAGTACAGGAAGAAAGAATTAGTTCGTAGAAGGAAAGATATAAAGCGATTTTAATCTGATGGTTTAAGGGAAGACAGAGAGTATATACACCTAAGCCATTGTGATCGATTCGGAGCCATGTTACAGTCTCCAACCATTGGTCACGATAGTCACGCAGAACTGCTGCTTAGTATATTCGTCCTCTAGTTGATAGACAGATATCTCACCTTCGCCATAAGTCATGTAAGTTGGTAAAAGCCAAGCAAGCTTTCTGAATCCGTGCTGAGATTTCGCCAGACACCAACCCATTACGGTTGATCAGACTTCCAAGATAAGTGAAGTTGTCAACGCACCCGACTACTCCACTCCCTATCCTTAGTTCAGGTGCTGACGCAGACCAGTCCCGAAGTGACAACTTGCATTATGAGGGGGAGAAACGCATCCCAAACATCCTCGCATTGTTGCTCAGTGCTACCAAAAGACTGCACTTTACCATAGCCTTCACCGAACAAGACTATATCACCTGTGTATTCCAAATCGATAACTGAACCTCCTGGATGGAGACCAATGCCCGAAAATTCAGTCGACGAGAACGTTATTTCCAGCAGTATGTCCACGATGAGATCGAACAACGGAGATAGTGGACAACACCGGGTAGGGAAATTTACAGAATCGAAGACCATCTTAGTCAGAAAGCATTATAATATCAGAGCCATAGCATTTCAAACGAAAATGTTTCAGTCTCTACAATATAAATATGTCTAATCCTCAACTCATCATATTTGGTACGTTGAACACCCGGAGATAATCAAATGAAGAAATAACTCACGGACAATCCTGCATACGAACTTGATGAACGACTGAAATTAAGAACTCTTGCACTAGAACTCAGTACGCCTATTTGTAGTTATACGAAAATTCTGACTGAACAAAGCAGTCATTGGATTAGCTAACTATATGTATCTAACGTTTGTGTACAACAGAACTGAAGGTCTAATCACTTGTCA